CCGGAAGATGAGTCCCTCAAGTTGGAAGGCCCTCAAGATACCACTTGGGGAAGAAATGCTTCCTTAAAGTAGAGTAGACCTTACTGACATGGATGAAATAAAGCTTTCAGGATATTCATTTGCTAATGTGGCACAACTCAAAATGAGAAGAAATATCAAACATCCAATGATAATTGGAACATGGAATGAATATACGAAGTATAAATCAAGAAAAATTGGAAGTTGTGAAAAATGAAAGGGAATGCTTGAAGATCAATATCACAGGCAGTAGTGAGCTGAAATGGACTATATTTGGGCAATCACATCGTCTACTATGCCAGGAAATTGAAGAGGCATGGCATCACATTCATCATCAAAATAACATTTCGAAATCTAAACTGAAGTACAGTGCTGTCGGTGATAGGATAATATCCATATGCCTACAAGGAAGACAAGTTAATACTACTATTTTTCAAATTTGTGTACAAACCACTAACATCAGCGATGTAGAAATTGAAGGCTTTTACTAACCTCTGTGGTCTGAAATTAATCAAACATGCAAGCAAGATACAGTGATAATTACTGGTAACTGGAATGAGAAAAGTGGAAACAAAGAAGGATCACTAGTTTGAAAATATGGCCTTGGTGATAGAAATGATGCCAGAGATTGCATGACAGAATTTTGCAAGACCAATGACTATTCATTGCAAACACCTTTTTCAATAACATAAATGGCAACTATACACATAGACCTCACTGGATGCAATATACGAGAATCAAATCAACTTCATATATCGAAAAAGATAATGGAGAAGCTCAATATCGTCAGTAACAACAAGGCCAGGAATGGAATTGAGAACAAATGATCAATTGCTAATATGCAAGTTCAAGTTGAAGCTGAAGGTAATTAAAACAAGTCCACGAGAGCCAAAATACAGCCTTAAGTATATCTCATCTGATTTGAAGACCATCTCAAAAATAGACTTGACACACTAAATAGTAATGAGTGAAGACAAAAACAAGTCATGGATGACATCACGGACACCATGCATGGAGAAAGAAAAAGGTCATTAAAAAACCCAGAAAGAAAGAAAAAGCCAAAATAGATGTAAGAAGAAACTCTGAAACTTGTTCCTGAAGATAACAAAGCTAAAGAGAAAGAAGGATGATGAAGTAAAAGAGCCAAACAGAAGATCTCAAAGGGCAGCTCAGGGAGGAAAAGTAAAGTAGTAATTAGAAAAACAAAAGGGAAGCATATATTCTAAAAGAACTGAAGAAAATATTCAAGCCTCGAGTTGCAATATTTAAGAATTCTATGGGCAAAATATTGAACTACACAAGAAGCATCAAAAGAAGGTGGAAGAAATACAGAGTCACTACACCAAAAAGATTTGGTCAATATTCAACCATTTCAAGAGGAAGTATATGATCAAAAGCGTACGGTACTGAAGGAAGAAGCCCAAGTTGCAATGAAGGCATTGTTAAAAAACAAGGCTCCAGGAATCAACTGAATACCAATGGTGCTGTTTCAACAAATGAATGCAACATGGGAAGCACGTATTTATCTGAGCCAAGAAATCTGGAAGATAGTTATCTGACCAACCAACCACAAGAGATCCATATTTATGCCCATTCTAAAGAAAGGTGATCCAACAGAATACAGAAATTATCAAATATCATTAATATTACATGCAAGTAAAATTACGCTGAAGATAATTCAAAGGCAATTGTAGCACTACAACAGGGAACTGCCACAAATGCGAAAGATGATGTGGAACAAAGGATATCACTGCTGATATCAGGTGGATCTTGGCTGAAAACAAAGAATAGCAGAAAGATGTTTACCTGTGTTTTATTGACTGTGCAAAGCTATTCACCTGTGTGGTTCATAACAAATTATGAATAATATTGCAAAGAATGGGAGCTCTGGTAGCATAGTGGCTCAGGCACTTGACTGCTAACAAGAAGGCTGGCGGTTCAAACCCACCAGCCACTCCTCGGAAGGAAGATGGGGCAATCTACTTCTGTAGTGATACTGCCTAGGAAACCCAAGGAGGGGTCGCTATGAGTCGGGGCCGACTCGACGGCACATAACAACAACAACAACATTGCAAAGAATGAGAATTACAGAACAGTTCATTGTGCTTATGCAGAACTGTACATATACCAAGAGTCAGTTGTTCAAACACGACAAGGGGATACTGTGTGGTTTAAAATCAGGAAAGGTGTACATCAGGGTTGTATCCTTTTACTATACTTATTGAATCTGTATGATGAACAAATAATCTGAGAAAATGGGCTATTTGGAGAAGAATGTAGCATCAGGATTGGAAGAAGACTCATTAACCACCTTCAATATGCAGATGACACAACCTTGCTTGCTGAGAATAAAGAATATTTAAAACACTTACTAATGTAAATCAGAGACACAGCCTTCAGTATGGATTACACCTCAACATAAAAAAAAAAATCTTCACATCTGGACCAGTAAGCAACATCATGATGAATAGAGAAAAGAGTGAAGCTGTTAAGGATTTCATTTTACTCAGATTCACAATCAGTGTCCATGGAAGCAGCAGTCAAGAAATCAAATGACATACTGCATTGGACAAATCCACTGCAAAAGACTTCTTTAAAGTGTTAAAAAGCACCTTGA